GATAAGTAAGACTGACGCATGTCATAGCAATGGAGAGGTGTGAAGTGTTGACCACTACTTGCCGATCGGACAAGCGATCCTTGATCCCACCGGCTGGGTCTTTGAACTCTCACCCTTTCCATCTCCCCCTAAATTCCCCTGTCTAAGACGGAAAATGTCTAAAACGGAATTTTTTTCTCGCTCCCTTGCGATTCCATCTTACACAGGTTCGACTGTATATATATATATATATGTGAGAAACGCTGAACCCACACCCCTGTTGGTTTCAATTTCTCCACTGTTTTTACACTGTTTAATTGCCTGAGACATGGTCTCGGCAGTTGGGGAAAGGGAAGACATGTTATTTGATGTCTGTTTCATTTGGTAGTTACATCATTTGTTCCATTAGTGTAGCTCTTGAGAGGTGAGTTACATGTTACATTGTTTTTTGTTTTTTTAGATCTGTCTCACAGCGTTTCACGATTTTAGGTTTTTGAACTTGCACATTGTCCAGCCTTTAAATTAATAATTAAATGAAAAAGCTGTTTGTTTTTATGGTTTCTGATTTTGAATAGAGCATACCAGTTAGTCACAAAAGTGACTTAGAATATTTAGATCCGAATAATTCTGTTCAGAAGGGTAAAAAACATGCCTTTGGGGTTGCTAAGGTTGCTTCACACACTCCTCTACCAGTGGCTCAAGTAATTCTGAGTTTATTTTTGTCTATATTTCTAATAATCATACAAACAAAAGTGTGAGACCTATTAAACATGTTTTCTCACCATTAAAATACAATATATAAAAATGGTAAATTGTGAAAATGTTAAGTGTTTACTTTGAAAACTTATCTTGACAATGAATGCTCTAAAAAAAAAAAAACACCTTTGAAATATGGTAACGAGGTTAAATTGAGGTTTTAACCTCTGGCAGTCAGTAAATTTATAATTCAACTGATGGTGTGTCATAGTGTATTTATACTGTGGCTTTAAATGCCCCAACCAACACTATTATTAGCATTAGGATATTTAAGTGGCAGGACCTCCGCATTTAACGTCTGTATGCAAAAGGACCCACCAAACCAAATGGGCTGAGAGTTGAGAGCCTTAAAATCTCAACAAAATGTCAAGAACGTTCAGTCTGGGATTTGAACCAGGGCGATCCACTCTGTAGTCCAGTATAAATGATACCAACTGAGCTAACAGAGCACCTGTTGTCACTTGAATGTTGTGATATGTGTAAGAAAAAATAGAAAAAGCCAGATTCAGCCAGTGACATTCTCCAGTGTCAGCCTCTTTCAGAGCAGCGCACTGTCATTTCTGATCAGAGCATGAAGTCTTAGTTAGAATATAGCACGTTTTTTGGAACTAAGTTAGCAGGGATGAAATGCCCCTGATTTAAATAATGGCGTCCGAAAGAAACTGAAAATGTAATCACCCAGTCATTGTGTTACAGCCTTGTACTACCCGCTCATGCAGCATACCAATTTAAAGCTAATTAAACCATGCATTATCTGACTTATTGATATTTCATCTATGTTAACTCTTTATCTCCGGCAAGCCGCTCCCACGGCTCGCGGTCGGAACCACTATGCCGATGAGCGGTTGACAGGCACATTCCTTACGATGACTTCGAAATCGAATTTTTTTGGGGGTGATTGTCGAAAACAGGTCTCTTATAGCGGAAGTTCATTCATTAGATTAAGAACTATCAAAATAGGTTTGCTAGTTTAGATTTTATGACCCATTTAATGATGTTTTTGTCTTTTTTAGATTTAGCACCGAAAAAGGGCCCCAGCGTAGTAGACATCTCCATGCATAACAAAGCATTTTCTCACAGGGCTTTTGCCACTAGACAATTCTTGGAAACCACATTAAATCAACAACGGGGTGGTCACCAGTAAATAGCCCCGATATGAGTCCTACTGATATGTAAAGTTCCACGAAACAGCTGAAGAAAAGTGACTTTGCTCCTTATTTAGACCCTTTGACTTTGTTTGCAACTCTCTGTGACATTTGGGATGAAATGACGAATAATTATGTCAAAAACTTAATTGAGTCCATGCCCAAAGCGTTCGTGCACTACATGAAACCAATGGCTCCTAAGCAAAATAACAATGAGCAAATTGAATGTGAAGTCCAAATTTTGTGTGGTATTTGTGATTGCTCTGTTTTTTGTTTGGTTTGAAACTATTGTGACAAAATATAATAATAAAATATTATTTATTGCAGAGACAAACTTCTCCATTCATCGGATATAATGCTATGCATGTCCATTTGTATCAATATTGAAGCTCGTCATACGAGCGCGAAGACAATTTTACGTTTCTTGGATTTCGCACAATTTTGCCAAGACTGGTTTTTTAAGGTCAATTTAATTTTGAGTGACCATATCTCGGGCGTCTCTTAACGTAGATGAGCTATTATTGTGTCAGATGATGCAGAATTTATTACACTTTAAATTAGTATGCTGCATATGAGTGGCTAATGCACAGCTTTAGCACAGTGATTGGGTGATTACATTTTCAAGTTTCTTTTGGACACCGCTGTAATGTGTCAAGTGCTTAACTAATCAGATGACTCTTTATGTTTCTCAAAATCGTTATCTAATAAATGATAGAGCATAGGTCCTATCAGAAGTGATATTTACATGATTGAAAGTGACAAGGTAAAAAATTTTAATTACAATTCTTTCTTTTAAAAAGTTGTGACTGGTGGACAGCATACTCAAAGTAAAATTTTGACATATTTCAAAGACATGTGACTTCTAAATAACAGGATTTTTTTTCCCTTTCAGATCAGGTCAGCACAGAAACCATTGCCTCTATCTCGTGAAACCAAGTTTGAGTCTGACCTTGGTGCAATGGACATTGAATATGAAGTACCTGAAGGTCGTGCTGATCTCAAATCTGTCCTGGAGTTCCTGAGCAAACATCAGCTGAACCCAGACATTGCAACCTCAAGCAGCATTGCCCGGGACTTCAGATTAGATGAGGCTGAAGTGCAAAACGTTCTCAGTCACTTTAAAGTTCTTCAGATTCACATACCGCAAGAGATGTACAAGGAGAACAAGAACATGGCAAAAATTGTGAAAGAACAGTTATCATCTTCGGAAGGACTTGCTTCAAATTTACGATTACCGGGAAAAGGCAATCCTCGGCAAGGGAAACTCCCATCAGAGGCAGACGTTTTTCCTGACAAATCTTGACCTGGCACACCGTGATAGCTTGAACTGTTCTTTTTTTAAATTGATGAAAGGTGACATTTTAATTAAACAACTGTCATGAATGCAGTATTTATAGTTGAGATTGTTTAGTGGATGCATGGTACAGTGGAATTCCGATTCAACAAGGTGGCCGGGCCTGACCTAAAATCTCATTGAATCCGAGTGTTCGTTATAGAAAATATGGGGTTTTTGTGTAGATAATTACAGGCCCTGAGCGAGTAATGAATAAAGGGAAGTAACAAGTGGTGCCTGAAATGCCTGCATGTTATGAGCTGTGCAAAAGAAGACCGATTCATTCAAATCCTCGCCTGTGTGTTGCTGTGTAGAGTCTAGCATTTGATTCAATAGGCCAGCGCACAATGCATTACCTATGTCAAGACTAGCTTATAATTGTAATGATGATCAATAGTTTCTATCTGCGACGTTCCACGCCCGGACGGCTTCGATATGGCTGAATTGTTCTCTATATTCGTTCATTTGCTACTAATACTGGCTGTCTTGTTTATTGAGGCTAAGGAGTTTCTGATTATGAAGATGGTCGCTCCTCGAGAAATAACAAGACCACAGACAAAAATATCAGAAAGAATTATAGTTTATCCTTTTCTGTCTTTCTCATCTCTTCTTTGATCGTTGTCTGTTTGTCCTGGGGTATCAATATCTGTTTTAGTGTGATTCAGATCAATGTCTCTTTGTTTAGAGAAACGATGTGTATAGTACAGACCCGGTAACCAGGAACAAAGTCACGAAGTATATAGACCCAATAACTTGATGAAGGTTCTATATACATTATTGACAAGAATTCATAACTTTCAGTTGAAAGCTGCTTGACAATGGCAGCCTTCACCTTTTGAGAAGGTCCGGTGACAATTCTTTCTCATAACACTTGCCTCCTTCCTGTTTAATTACCATATTAGGCTTTGAAGGGCGTTGTAGTTCATATTGCCCCTATAGTTTGTCCTATTTTTTTCCTGACCATAAGGAAAAATTCTTTCATAGGCAGCATTGCTGTTGGGGGGGGGGGGGGGGGGGGGGGGTGAAAGGATAATGGTCATGACCCTGGGAAGTAGTGTGTATTTCAATTTGAGATGACCACTGCAATTTTTAAAGCAGCCAAAGCTTTCCACCTGTGGTTTGCTCTAGTAGTCTGCTCAAGGATGCTGTCAATAGGTTCTGTCAAGACTCCAGCTCATCTCAGGAGGAGCCAGCAGGAAGAATCATTGGATATTTTTTCATGAAGAACTTCAGGGTACTGTGAAGGTAGCCGAGTTTCTGTTGTCCATGTCAGCCACTACAGCCCCCATAAGGACAGATTCTTTTATAGGAAGAGTTTTTAATGAGATACTTCACAGCCATAAGCAGAAAGTTTCTTACACATCCATAAAAGTCACCTATGGCTCACTCGGACATCTTTGACTGTAAAAAATAATCCCCCACCTCTTTGCCTACACTTATGTTTTTGAAATCTTCCAGATTGTACTTCATTGTCAGATCCACATCGGTGGCTCACTGTATACCATGGCACTAGGGGCTACGAACATAACCATCAGTTCCCGTAACATCTCTGCCAAAATCCTCCTCTGTTTATGAATTTTAGGCTCCTCTAACTGTAACATGACGTTGTATTTTTGACAAACGCAGGGAGCATGAAATTTAAAGACAACCAAGGTCAATTTTGTTGTTCTTGACTGCAAATTTTCCCGAACATTCTTCTTCCTGTCATGTCTCTTCCTCCCCTCCTGTCCCAGGTTTTCCATAGTTTTCCTATCTTGATCACACTCAGAGGTGAAAAATGCTGTAAGACGCTCCCACTAGGCCAAAGCCCATTTGATGACTGAGCCCAGAGAGAACCATCTTGTGGGAACATGTTTAGGAACTTTGTAAAGTGCTGTCCCTTCCTCTTCTTGACAAAGTTGAAAATTTTGCAACCTGTTTGCCCATTTGTCCATAGTAATATATTATTATGTCTTGGGAAAAGCCATCAAAGTTGATAGTCAATTCTTTGGCTCCCCATTCTGCTGCCAAATGGAGGCAATGGCAGACACAGCCCGTTGAAAGTAAGTCCTTTTGATATGACTCCTTTAGATGTCTGTAAACGCCTGTCTTTGCACCCACTGTCACATTGGCGTTGTCGGTGCACAGGCTCATACAAATTTTGCTTCGGGATCTTCAACGCACTCAATTCATTGTTAATCAAGTCAGTAATGATGCTGCTAGTCCCCGCACACTTCAAATCCAAAATTGAAAGCAGGTCAACACACACTTCATTTCTTTCTCATAAGTTACTAATAGAGGATACAGTTTGTCGATAGAGTCAGTGCTTCCCTCAGTTGCTATGTTGAAGCAGTTGGTTCTGTGTTGTTCAGTCAACTTGCTTCGTACATCCAAAACAAGTTCATGTGCTGTGGACGTTGTTTCAGTCCTTCCACAAGAATACTTCTCTATGATCTCCTTGAGATTTTGTCCTGGAATGAGAAGCAGGGTTCTGTTGGCAATCATAAATATACCTTTTTCATTGTCTCCTGAGGGCATCAAAAATATTTAAGTAAAGAAAGAAAAGAACATTATATATCTTACCTTTCAACAACTTCCTTGGCTTCTCTTAGGAACTTATCCTTCATCTGATCCCAAGCATAGGCAGTCAGCTTTGTCCTGAACATCTCTTCATTTGGATCACAGCTCCTTATTGGTATATCAAACATGCACACAGAGCGATATTTCTTCTCTTTGCACATGCTTTCAAGGAAGACAAAAAATTCGTCAAAAAACACTGGCAGAAAAGCGAATCTGGTATACACTGCCTTTATGTGCTTGTTGATGCTTTCCAGGTGGTTTGTGGTGTTCTGACTTAAGGTCAGCTTCTCTGACTTATGGCTGACAACCCACTCCTCTCCGTTGTCGTCCCAGTTTTTCTTTGAATACTCAACAACAAAGGGCATGTCCACTTTTTTCAGGGTCTGTGCTCATACTCCGTTTCACTTTGACTGTACGCCATTCATTGAAGAATGGAAAGGACAGTGGCTCTTTGCCATGAACGGATGCCCATCTTTGCAACGGTTGCCTCTCTGCCAAACGTTCTTAGAGTGTGAAAGAGGCAAAGTTGGAGGGATGCGTTTGGAAACTTTTCAGTTAGAACAGCTCGCTCTGTGAAGTCCTTATCAGTGATAATCACACGAGTGTTCTCTACTGACCCGACTCTCTCGGTAAACGCAGAAATCATTTCAAATCAATACTTTCTTTGTTGACCAGGAAAACTCAAATTATCTCTAACTCTTCATTACGTCTATGGTTAACAATACATAAACCACCATCTGGTTATTTGTTAACTTGCACGTGGCATCCATGATCAGCACCTCTGGATATGAATTGTACGTCTGTTCCAATCGCTGCGTCCATGAACATTACGCCCATTACCTCTTCGGAATCAGTATCCACTTTGATAAATACTCGTAATCCAGCATGTTTTGAGCTTACATGCTGTAACAGCTCATCCATTGTCTCAGGGGTTTTCAGTTTGTTCTTTTGAGCAATGTTTGCCTGTTCTCTCAAGAGCACCTTCTTTCCTGTTGCCTTGCGAAATCTGGTCTGGATGAGCTTCTTGTTGCCTTTCACAGACACCATCTGCAATTCTTCTTCATTCAAGGGGCGTCGTTTCGGATTGACAGTTTCCTCACCTCTCTGGCTAATATTCAGATGGGAATATTGTGTAAAGATATCCTTTGCAGTGAACAGATGCCCATCTTTGCAACGGTTGCCTCTCTGCCAAACGTTCTTAGAGTGTGAAAGAGGCAAAGTTGGAGGGATGCGTTTGGGAACTTTTCAGTTAAAACAGCTCGCTCTGTGAAGTCCTTATCAGTGATGATCACACGAGTGTTCTCCACTGACCCGACTCTCTTGGTAAATGCAGAAATCATTTGAAGTCAATACTTCTTTTGTCTCTTTGTTGACCTGGAAGACACAAATTATCTCTAACTCTCCATTCCCGTCTAGGGCTAACAATACATAGACCATCTGGTTATTTGTTAACTTGCTTGTGGCATCCATGATCAGCACCTCTGGATATGACTTGTACGTCTGTTCCAATCGCTGCGTCCATGAACATTACGCCCATTACCTCCTCGGGATCAGTATCCACATTGATAAATACTCGTAATCCTGGTTGTTTAGAGCTTACTTGCTGTAATTGTCCCAGGGGTTTTCAGCTTGTTCTTTTGGGCTATGTTTGCCAGGTCTCTCAAGAGCACCTTCTTCCCTGTTGCCTTGCGAAGTCTGGTCTGGATGAGCTTATTGTTGCCTTTCACAGACATCAACTTCCAACTCAGACCCCATAACCAATTCTTTTTCATTCGAACAGGGTCGTTTCTGATGGGCAGTTTCCTCACCTCTCTAGCTATTATTCAGATGGGAATATTCTCTATAGATATCCAGATCGAGTTAAAACATAAAAGATCAAAGGGTTCCCTCGTGACCTAGACGTTAAGGTGTTCGCCTCTCATTCAAAGGCCCGTGTTCGAATCCAGGCAGCGACGGAAAATTTTCTTCTCTAAAAATTCTCTTTTCACCTCCTTTCCTGCTCTCTAGCAATGTTCTGTCATCTGCTTTCATCCTCACTTTCTTTTCCCCTCACCTCCTTTGCCGCCTCCTGTGGGCTCCTGACTCTTTCTGCAGCCTTTCAAATGCTACTCCTTGGCTCCTTTTTACTACTGCCTTTCAGCCACACCTCTGATCTTCTGGTAGGAAAGATCTACACCTAGCCTTCTCTTACAAGGGGGAAATTCTCAGAAGTCTCGTGTGCAAGTTGCACACATTAAATATTCCTTGGTGGTCTAAAATTGATGAGTAGGCTTCGGCCCCACCTGGGCAAAATTCAGAATTTCCTACCATCTGAAAAATGTTTAATGTGCTCCATGTGCTTATATGACTATATACATGCAGTTGCGAGCGCCGTAAAACACTTATAAAAAAAAAAAAGATCAAAACTTACCTCAATAGTTCCACAGTGCTAGGTTGAAATTATGTCATTGCTCTTTTCTTCAAATTGTCTTTTTATTTCCTTCAACTCCAAAATGG